AACTGTGGCTTTGTAATAACAGCTTGATATCTGGTAATGTGATCCCTCCTACTTTGTTCTTCTTTCTCAGGATTGATGCAGCTATTCAGGGTCTTTTTTTATTCCAGATGAATTTTTGGAGAGTTCTAGGTCTATGAAATATGCCGTTGGTATTTTAATGGGGAGTGCATTGAATCTATAAATTGCTTTGGGTGGTATGGACATTTTAAATGATGTTGATTCTACCAATCCATGAACATGGTATGTTATTCCTGGGTTTGGCCTTTTGGTTCTTCCTCCAGTTCTCTACTCAAGTCAGTATTTGTCATCCTTGCCAACATTTGAGTGCCCATTCGGCACTGTATTCCAAACACTAAATAAAAATGTTCTCCTGCCTTTTTTTTTTTCCTCCATATGGAAGAAGCAAATACAAAGCCTTGCAGCATAAAGCCATCGGTTAATCATGGCATCGCGGGCTCCCCTGTCGGCCAGTGTCTTAGGAAGCGGGACTTTCTTTATAAATGACTCACTAGCTTTTCCTACCATCAGCTTCCCCTGGGGTCACGGGGTCAGAGGGGTTGGGGGAGAGTACCCCGTGGTCCTGTGAATGCCGGCATATGCCAGGCACCGGGCAAGGCCCTGGGTTGAAATTAGAGGCTTGCCCAGTCCTGGTACATGTATCAAGTGCTAGAGACGCCTAGAGCATTGTCCCCCCAGCACTCTGGCCCTTGACGCTGCGGGAGCCACACTCACCACCTTTGTGGTTCCTTCTGCATCCACCCTAGGCTCACTCCACCCGCCCGGGGCCTCTGTGCTGGCTGTCCCACTGCCCGGACCCCCCTGCCCCTCGGTGTAGGAGCATCTCTGATGGGGCATCTTCAGAAACGTCCCCTGACCCTCCTCAGCCTCCAGGACCCCATGGTCACTCTGTGATGCGCCCTGTCTCCTTTACATCCGAGTATATGCACCGTCCACCAGGATTTGCTTCATGTGCTTGTTTCCTAGTTTTTTTCCCAAACCTAAGACCAGAATAGGGGGCCATGAGGTGAGAGACTTTGCCCCTGTGGTGCCCTCCCCCAAGGGAAGCAGCATGTGGTCACCACTCAGTAAATACTTGTTGGATGAATCGAGTACATACGGGGGAAGCATGACGCGCCAGGTAAAGGCAGAGCAGACGAAGTGGAGAGTTCAGGGAGAACATGCCAGGCGTTGGTGTGAGGGCGTGTGGGAGAGGGGCAAAGGACGAAGCTGACAGAAGGGCCTTGGCTGGGCTCAGCCGTGTAGACTCCACCGAACGGCTTTCATCTTGGTCAGATTGCAGTGGAGAATGGAATGAAAAGGCCAGGACTGGAGGCGGGAGACCACTTAGAGACAATTGCTGCATCCCAGGCAAAACGATGATGGTGGGGCTGAGACCGAGGCCGGCTGCGTGGGGACAGAGAGCACAGACGAGTTGCTTTGTGGGCACTAAGGACAGGGGAGCAGGCGCCTCTGGCACTCACAGCAGGTCCCTGCGCCCTGCTGCATCCTGGCTCCTCCGAGAGAGGCCCTCGGGGCAGGGCGGGGCAGGAGAGGGTCTGTGCATCGCACCCTGGAAGCGCATCTGTAGGGCGCCCACCTCCTGGTCCTTAGCAGCATGTCAAGTGTTATGTGCAAACACAACCGGAGGGAAAGGGCACGATCTTGGATCCGGCCCAAAGCGGATGCTCCCAGCTCCAGGGAAAGAGGTCGTTAGCGCCCTGACAAGTGCGCAGATGGTGGTAGTCGCGAGTGAGTGAAGTCCGGAACCTCTTCCTGGGCTTACAGATTGCAGATGAGAAAGGGCTCCAGCGCATTGTCTCAAGGCTCATTCAGCCACTGGACATAGAGTCATTCAAACAATAACAACCTCAGGGCTAGGGATGCAGGGGGAGCATCACAGATCAAGCCCGGCTCTCCCAGTGCGGGTCCAAGTGAGGGATGCAGACAAGCGGGGGTTGTGATCCAGTGCAATGAGTGCCCGGATGGCGGTGGTGCTTTGAGAGCACATGAGAAGGGCTTTGCATGCAGTAGGAGAGAAGGTGTATCAGAGAGGACTTCCTGGAGGAGGTGAGATTTGAGGGATGAGTAAGGAGGTATAGAAAGTGGACTCAGT